TAAGAACTTGCCACAATTTGTTGTGATCCACACAATCAAAGGCTTTAGCATAATCAATGAAGCAGAAGTAGATGTTTTCCTGGAACTCTCTAGCTTTCTCCATGATCCAGCGTATGTTGGCAATTTGATCTCTAGTTCCTCTCCCTCTTCGAAATCTTGCCTGTACTTCTGGTAGTTCTCGGTCCACATACTGCTGGAGCCTAGCTTGTAGGATTCTGAGCATAACTGTGCTAGCATGTGAAATGAGTGCAGTGGTGCGGTAGTTTGAACATTCTTTGGCATTGCTCTTCTTTGGGATGGGAATGTAAACTGACCTTTTCCAATCCTGTGGCCACTGTTGAATTTTTCCAAATTTGCTGGCATATTGAGTGTAGTACTTTTACTGCATCGTCTTTTAAGATTTTGAATAGCTTAGCTGGAATACTGTCACCTCCACTAGCTTTGTTGCTCAGACTTCCTAAGGCCCATTTGACTTCACATTCCAGGATGTCTGGCTCAAGGTCAGTGACCACCCCATTGTGGTTATCAGGGACATTAAACTCTTTCTTGTATAGTTCTTCTGTGTAGCCTTGCCACCTCTTCTTAATCTCTTCTGCCTCTGTTAGGTCCCTGCCATTTTGGTCCTTTATTATGCCCATCTTTGCATGAAATGTTCCCTTCATATCTCCAATTTTCTTGAAGAGATCTGTGGTCCTCCCCATTCTATTGTTTTAACATAGAAATGTTATAATAATAATAATAATAATAATAATAATAATAATAATAATAATAATAATTGTTTTCTTCTATTTCTTTGCACTGTTCATTTAAGAAGGCATTCTTATCTCTTCTAGCTGTTCTCTGGAATTCTGCATTCAATTGGGTGTATCTTTCTCTTTCTCCTTTGCCTTTCGCTTCTCTTCTTTCCTCAGCTATTTGTAAAGCCTCCTCAGACAACCATTTTGCTTTCTTGCATTTCTTTTTCTTTGGGATGGTTTTAGTTGCTGCCTCTTGTACAATGCCACGAACCTCCGTCCATAGTTCTTCAGACACTCTATCTATGAGACCTAATTCCTTAAATCTATTTGTCACCTCTACTGTGTATTCATCAGGGATAGGATTTAGGTCATACCTGAGTGGCCTAGTGCTTTTCCCTACTTGTTTCAATTTAAGCCTAAATTTTGCAACGGGAAGCTCATGATCTGAGCCACAGTCAGCTCCTGGTCTTGTTTTTACTGACTGTATAGAGCTTCTCCATTTTTGGCTGCAGAGCACATAGTCAGTCTGATTTCTATGTTGACCGTCTGGTGATGTCCATGTGTAGAGTTGTCTCTTGGGTTGTTGGGAAAGAGTGTTTGCTATGACCATCGTATTCTCTTGACAAAATTCTACCAATCTGTGCCCTGCTTCATTTTGTACTCCAAGGCCAAACTTGCCTGTTATTCCGGTTATCTTTTGGCTTCCTACTTTAGCATTCCAATCCCTCATGATGATAAGGACATCATTTTTGGGTGTTAATTCTAGAAGGTGTTGTAGGCCTTCATAGAACTGGTCAACTTCAGCCTCTTCAGCACCAGTGGTTGAGGCATAGACTTGGACTATTGTGATGTTGAATGGTTTTCCTTGGATTTGAACTGAGATCATTCTGTCATTTTGGAGATTGTATCCCAGTACTGCTTTTCCTACTCTTTTATTGACTATGAAGGCTACTCCATTTCTTCTGAGGGATTCTTGCCTGCAGTAGTATACCTGATGGTCATCTGAACTAAATTCACCCATTCCTGTCCATTTTAGTTCACTGATTCCTAAGATGTCAATTTTCAGTCTTATCATCTCTTGTTTGACCACATCCAGCTTGCCTTGATTCATGGATCTTACATTCCAGGTTCCTATGGAGTATAGATCTTTGCAGCCTCGGACTCTTCTTTCACCACCAGATACATCAGCAACTGAGTTTCGGCTTTGACCCAGTCACTTCATCCTTTCTGGGCTACTAGTACTAGCCCTCCGCTCTTCCCCAGTATCATACTGGACACCTTCCGACGTGAGGGGCTCATCTTCCGGCGTCACATCTTTTTGCCTTTTGGTACTGTCCATGGGGTTTTCATGGCAAAGACATTGGAGTGGGTGCCATTTCCTTCTCCAGTGGATCACGTTTTGTCAGAGCTCTATGCTATGATCTGTCCGTCTTGGGTGGCCCTGCACAGCATAGCTCATAGCTTCATTGAGCTACGCAAGCCCCTTCGCCACAACAAGGCAGTGATCCATGAAGGAGCTTCTCCATGATACAGATCGCATATCAGGACAATCAAGTGCCAAAGCACATCCATTTCTTTCAGGCCATCCAAAGCTTCTCATGGGTCATGCAGTCATAGGCATTGCTGTAGCCTGTAAAGCATAGGCGGATCTTCTGAATTTCTTTTGCACACCAATCACCAATGTATATTTGTGTTATGATCTTGAGTATCTCTTAGAATCAAAGAATAGTAGAGTTGGAAGGGGCCAGAGGGCCATCAGTTCCAACCCCCTGCAGTTGCAGGAAGCCAAGTTACACCATCCCACTCAGACACCTGCCGGTTTCTTTTGAATGTTTCTAGTATGGGAAAACCCTCTTCCTTTCCAGAATGCAGCTTGAACATCAGGCATTTCTTGCTCCATATACCATAGTTCTTTAGTGCACCACATTGAGCATCACTTTGTTGCATGGCAAATTAGTGCAGTAGCCCTGTAGTTGTTGCACTCTTTTGCATGTACTTTCTTACAGACTATTATCTTTTTCTCTCTTCTGTATGTTTCTTCAGTATATTGTTTCTTCTGTTCAGATAGTATGTTCCTCTGTTTGTATTTCCGCATTCCTAATCTAGGTTTGAATTTTCCTTTGATTTCTTGGATCATCTGGAAGAGGTGTCTTGCTTTTCCTCTTTTGTTGTTCTCTTTTATTTCTTTGCATTGGTCATTATAATCATTCTTTTTTTCCTGTAATGATAGTTGCTAAAAAGTTGCATTCAGGATTCTGATCCTGCTTCTGACCCTTTTGCTCTTGATTCATGCCTGTTCTTAGTAATGGAGAGTATTTCTTTTGTCATCCAATTAGGCTTTTCTTCTCCTTTTGCTATAGAAATGGTCTTTTTGTATTCTTGCCTAATTATGTCTCTGGTTTCAGTCCATAGTTCTTCTGGCTTGTGATCAGTTGAGTTCAGTAATGCAAATCTGTTGTTTACGTGCACTTTAAATCATCAGGGTCTAAGTTATATTCTGGCACTGTACTTAGTGATCCTTTCCAGCTTTACTCTAATTTTTATTATTAATAGCTCATGGTCACTGCCACAGTCTGCTCCTGGTCTTGTTACAGCACTGAGAATAAAACTTCTCTAGCTCATATTTTCAGTTATATAGTCTTTTTGATTTCTGTATTGGCACTTTGGTGATGTCCATCTATACAGTCATCTGATTGGTTGCCTTAAGTATGAATTTGTAATAAACAGATTGTTGACTTTACAGAAATCGTATTAATTGTTCTCCTCCTCTGTTTATGTCCCTTAGGCCAATTTCTTCCATGACATTTGATCCTGCTTTGTTTCCTGTTTTTTTGTTCCATTCATCTATGAGTATCAGTATGTCTTGTTTTGGTGTGTTTTAAATTTCCTCTCGGATGCTCACATAAAAGTTTTCAATTTCTTCTTCTTAAGCATCTCTTGTTGCAGCATAGACTTGAATGATGGTTATGTTGATAGGTTTTCCACTACTTCGCCCCCTTAATGCCTGTACTGCATCTTGCCACAGTACTGGAGCCATTCCATTTTTTCTGAGTTTGTCATTTCCAGAGTAAAACATTTTATGTTTGTCTGACTGAAAACATCTCATTCTATTCCACTTTAGTTTGCTCACTCCAGGTGCTCTGAATTTAAATATTCATTTTATTGCTTTATCATTTCCAATTTGCCTTGATAGGAACTGCAGAGAGAAACTGATTCTGCCTTTTCTAAGAACTCTCCCAGGACAATCTTCTGAAGATATGGTTCTGTTTTGTTTAATGTTTACACATTTCTTTTGTATTGCAATGTAAATTAAGCAAAATATATGTTGGACCTTATCTAAAAGCCTTCTGTTTTATCTTTTTAAAATGCTGCATTTGTTCTTTGGTATTAAAATTCCAATTGATCTGTGACTGTAATTTTAAAAATCATTCACTCATTCATTCTGATTTCATATTAGTGGCTTTCTTGAATAAGCTGGTACATGCCGAAGCAAAGAATGAGTTGGCTGTGGGAAGTTACCACAAGGAAGAGAGTTTCATGCAGCATTTT